AATCAAATACTTCCAGTGAAATAAATTATAGTTGAAGGCAAGTAAGAGTCAATAAAAATTGTTATTTTAATAACTTTAGTACTGGTACTGTAATATTAATTGATGCTGTACAAATCTATTGTATACAATACCTACAGAACTTTTTGTAAAAATTAAAGATACAAGCAAATATTTTGTTATAAGACAGGATGTTTATTATAGCCTCTCACTGGAAGCTCAAGTCACAAAAAAATTTGTACCTTGGAGTCGTTAACCCCCCCGGCCTACCCTCCCTACAAGTTGTGTGGTTTGTTTACGCTAGGGATAAGTTAATTCTAGATTATATTACAAAAAAAGCAGCTGTTTTCAGAAACATAGGTACATTTTTTGGGATGAATATTAAATAACTTATTCTTAGTCACATCCTATGAGAAGCGTATGGTTTCCATCGTCGAACGTCGGAGCGGAAATGCCGAGATTCCTAGAAAACAGCGGTTAAACCAAAATTCTCTCAAAGCAAGGTTGGTTAAATCAAACTGTAATATTTTACGTTTGAGGACGTATAACCCGATTATCGGTTTATGCGAGGCAGAACATATTTTAAGGGATTTCCACTGGGCAACAGTGGTGCCGGACTTACCAGAGGGTCTTGGGGGTATGGAATACCCCCCATCAAAAAGGGGGGTCCCGGGGTTCTCACCTGGAAATTTTTGCATAGGCCTAAATTAAAGTGAAAATCATAAATTTCTATGTATTTTTTATGAATTTTTTTATTGTATTTTGCTTTTAAATAGTCCATATAATCTGACTTAATTACCAATTACGTATTCTAGAACATTGTAACAGGCCAAGGCTCCCTCCACAACTTCTTGGGCCAAAATCATAGCTCAATACTCTAAAATATTTAAGTTACATAATGTTATTTTTTTTAAATTACGATAGTCTAGGCTTACATTTAAAATGTGAATCATTTAAAAAAATATGCCGGCACCACCCATGTGTCGCCCAGTTAACATGTTATTTTATGCCCCGATGCGAGGTCGGTTAAATCTACTGTAGCTGTACCACAAGTTTCTTAGTGAAGTTGAGGTTATACTGTGTGTTTTTTGTTCTCAGCAGTTGTGTTTTTGTTGGTTTTTGTGGATTTTTTTTCAATAGAGGGCCAGGCTTTAAGTAACCATGGGATTGCAGTGCAGCTAGAACAGCTTATTGTACCCTCATTCATGTCCTCATTCTTTGTCAAATCCCAGGTCCTTTGTGAACCATGAGATCCTTTTGACTATGGTGACCCGTTCTTCCCTTTGATCTCCAGTCGATAGGCCAAGGGATCTCATGCGCAGGCCTTGTAGGGCTGGGCATATAAATATCACGTGGAAAGCTGTCTCCTCCTCCTCTCCACATTTCCTACATAAGAGGCTTTTAACTTGAATTCCCATCTTGGGTAAATGTCCACGGAATACCTAATGGCCGCTAATAAAGCCAACCACCTTCCGCACCCAAGGGCATCTGCCGCTATCGCACCTGTAGGTTCCTGCAGCATTCTCTTTGACTGTAAATTTCCTTCTGTTCTTTCCCAGTTCCATCGATGTTCTATGCCCATCCACTGGCGAACAGCTTTTGTGGAGTTGGGTTTACGGCGCAAATATGAGACAATTGGTCCAAAGTAAAATTGCATTTATATACTTTTTGCTATAAACCGACGGCTTACATAGCCTATGCGCCGTTTTTAAAATTTGTCAAAACTATGGAAACAAAAGCAATTTAAAGTTACAGTTGGAAGCAAGAATATTACATATCAATGTATTATAACAGGTTTTTATTTTCGGTCTTTCAATATAAGGGTCGGTAGCCTATATTTTGATCGCCCTAACGGTGATCTCGCATACCCGCATATAGGGGCCAATCGGTAGCAAACGGGTCACGGCTTTTTCCGGTCATACCTGTTTAGGATGGGCAAAGCCGTGTCACCCGATTGCATATACTGCCCAGGCATTCCCGATGACGTGGAACATACCTTTTTCCACTGCCAGCATTGGGAAAGGCCCCTTCTTGAAGCTCGCTCAACAGTTAGTAGGACTGCTGTCAGTGGACACGGTCATACCGATGATGATGGAGGGTGAGGACAATTGGACCTGTGTGTTACATTACATCCAGGGTATTCTCCGCGCCAAGAAGCTCGACCTTGACCGGGATGCGGTGTAGGTCATAAAGTATCTAAATGCCAAAAACGGTGAGAGCCCTGAGGGCTTAAGTTTAGGTCACATGTTGGCCTGACTTGATGTAATGTGACAAACAATTCCAGGCCTGTGTCCAACAGAGTAGAAGGGGTTTTATAGTAAGTAGTCTGTGATAGATTCAGGAGTCTCACACTACAGGCTGGCTACCTGTGTGCGTAAAAGCATCCCTCCTCTCCTTAAAAAAAAAAATACAGGGACTAATTAAAAAATTAGTCAACAAAAATTTTATTTATAAAATGTTGCCTAGGCCTATATGCCATTATTTACAAATCAAAACAGTAGTTCATAGATGATTAGATGAGTACCCTCCTAGGTATATATTGAGTGATTCTAATACAGTGATGTGTATTTACTTATGACAGTGGAAGTAAATATTGTTCATCATCAAAATTGTGTCTGGCCTGCTAACACATTGTCACTCCACTACTAGCACAAGCAATTTGCAGTGCAAACTCAACTGGGCGGAAATGGCATGGAACTTGTTAACTTATTCTTTTTGTCATTGCTTGGGGACTAAAAGGTCTATTCTGACAGGAGATCATTAGTTCAGTTCTAACGTTTCTAACATTGATACTCTGCCACGCGTGAACATGTCCTGTTAGAGTCTAGGCCTATATGTGCAAGTTATTATGCTACGCGGGCCGGGCCTATTGTCCCGGAATAGGCCTACCGCCATCAATAGATTTTTGGGCCTTCGTCACTTTTCGCCCTCTTGTACTTATGACTCTCAAGTGTTTCTGAGATACGACGTTAGTACTCTGCACAATGCGTGAACATGTCCTTTATGGGCCATTCTTCAGAAAAGGACAGATTTCAATTTTTAATTTTTATTTTTTTTATTTTTTTAGATATTTTAATGTATGACCCTTTTTAATATTTACCCATTGCAATGGTCACACTAAATAAAAATGACTTTCCCAGATTTTTAGTATTTAAAAACTAGCATGTCCACGGAAGTGACAATAAGTCCACAGAAGTGACTATCACAACTGCAAATTTTACAAATAAAGTTAAAAAACAAACATAGATTCTAGCAATTAGGTTAGGAACAATGTTTGCTCTTATTTTTGTAGAGAAACACATAAACTAGGCTACTGTAAATTAGTGTATTAGGTTTAATCGCCATTTAAAATAATAGTTGTTAAGCGCAGCAACGCGCGCCAGGTAACTGCTAGGTGTCCACAGAAGAGATGATTTAGCATTTTATGCCTATAGAGTCTAGCAAATAGGTTAGGAACAATGTTTGCTCTAGAGAATCACATGAACTACTGTAAATTAGTGTATTAGGTTTAATTGTCATTTTAAAATAATAGTTGTTAAGCGCAGCAACACGCGCCGGGTAACTGCTAGTGTCCACAGAAGTGATGATTTAGCATTTTATGCCTAACATAGAGTCTAGCAAATAGGTTAGGAACAATGTTTGCTCTTATTTTTGTAGAGAAACACATAAACTAGGCCTACTGTAAATTAGTGTATTAGGTTTAATTGACATACATAATTACCTTTAAAATGTGGTAACAGAAGTGACTATGTTAGCTCGACGATCAATTAAAACTCTAGTTTCACATGATATAAACAACTAATAACTGAACATAACAAAACCAAACTGATTCTATGTTCAAGGTGGTTACTTCTTCTCTGTAAAAAAAATAGTGGTGAAAGTTGGCCAGTGCTGCCTGGTGGATTTTTTGGAACTATTTATGCCTGTCCTCAGATGTGATGCAGGCTTTGGTGACCGAGTTTCATTGTTTTTTTTACCTTTAATAGAATAGAAAAAGTAAAATAAACAAAAAATTATTAATATTCAATGTCTAGATAGCCAACAGCAATTGGGTTTAATAATTCTTATTTCAAATTTGTTAGTAAAATCAGCTAATCTTAAGCTGAACCTAGAGGGGTGACTGTCCACAGAAGTGATATGTCACCTTCTGTGGACATAAAATGTTCATTAAATTTAATTTAGATTGTTTTCTTCTTTACATTAAGTATAAAAAAAAAGTTTACCTACATATTTAACAACAAATTATGTATTTATTATCTTAATTTTTATTTATTACTCCTTGGTGACCGTAATCTGTCCTTTTCTGAAGAATGGCCCATATCATGTGAATATACATGTAGGCCTAAAATTCTACAAGGGCCTGTGCCTAGTGTCTCGTAATAACGCCATCAATAGATTTTTGCACAAGCACTTTGTCACTTTTCACCCCCTTAATGACTCTCAAGCGTTCCTGAGATAGGCTATACAGACATTTTATTTGCACATTCTTTACATAATGGTGGTACATACAGAATATGTGCATTTTCTGAGTTGTTGACAGATTCACATCAATCGTGAGAGGAACTGCCACTCCTACCTACAATATTTTAGGACATGTATAAAAGTCAATCTACGATACACCACTAACTTAAGTGTTCATGGTGAGCTTTGAAAACAAATCCAGAAGATTTTAAGCAAATGTAATTAGACTATAGTCCTCGCCACCCTAACTTGGGCTGGCGCACTAAATATACTGCGTGCGGCTTTGGGCTGCCTCAAGTTAGGGTGGCGAGGACTATACAATATACATGACATGAAATTGTCTCAGTTCTGCATAGTCAGCTCTCCTAAAACCAGATGAGACAAGGCTTTCATGATCTTTGTTGACAAGCATGGAAATCGGACCTGTGTAGCCTTCAGATTTGAAGGAGATTACTATAACAACTCTGCTAGGCCTACCCACATATATATTTTTAAGAGAGCATGAATTATCAGTGATGGCTTATCTGGTAATGACAACTTACTTGAAAACTCTCTTACTAAACCATGAAGGGCACCTTTTACTTTGAGAAAGGCTACAATATTATGAGAACTTTGAACAAATGCTATTTTCAGTAATGCTAAATCTTCAAATTGAACTAACGACTTAGTTTTTAACTTGTTTGCTAGAATAGTTACTTCTTCATTCTTTATCAGCCTCCCGTTGTCTACAACGTCCTGCAAAGATTTTCTTTTGTTTTTTAGAATGTTTTCTCGACTTGTTAGTCTTGACTCGACAACAGCTAAACGAGCATGATCTCTAAGTTTATCTGCACTATCCATTTTAATCAAATAAAACTGTAAAATACTAATAATAATTCACTTTTAACTTATCATTGATATGTATACGTTTCGGTTTTTGTTTCGAATTTATTCCAATAATAAGTTACAGGTTAGGTTATGTTGAACAGTGTGTTGAATGTTGTGTAAACTCAAACTGTATAAACATAAAAAAAATAAACGGTACTAGACCGTCGTGAAGTTAGCGGCTCTTATATCATCGGCACTTTTTCGGATTGTAATAGATATGGGTTGGTACGCCTGCGGACGCCACAAACGTGTTTTGCAGGGATGTCGGAAACGCAATTCAATGACAATACGGTGTGAAATGATGTTTTTACATTTATATAATGTCAATTATACCTTGATAAAACGTGTATACACGTTAAAACTAATTAATAGGAGTATTTTAAAAGGCATATTTGAGACCGTACTGTACATTATACGTAGCTATGGCTTAACATAACGCGATCAATTAAAACTCCGAACATAAAAAGTGCATAAGTTATTTCCTAAGCCCATCACATCAATTTTGAGCTATTCTAATGGTAATATACAATGTGTAGAATACTCAGTATAAATATGATTGAGGCAGTCCAGTAAATTACGAAAATAAGGCTATATGGTTGATAGGAATTTGCGTCAGGAAAAAGTGCACAATCTTTTTCCTAAGCCCATCACATCAACTTTGAGGTATTCTAATGGTAATATACAATGTGTAGAATAATCAGTATGAGTATGATTGAGGCAGTCCCCTAAATTACGAAGTTATATGGCAAAATCTATATGGTTAATAGGAATTTGCGTCAGGAAAAAGTGCACAATATCTTTCCTAAGCCCATCACATCAACTTTGAGGTATTCTAATGGTAATATACAATGTGTAGAATAATCAGTATAAATATGATTGGGGCAGTCCCCCAAATTACGAAGTTATGTGGCAAAATCTATATGGTTGATAGGAATTTGCGTCAGGAAAAAGTGCACAATATTTTTCCTGAGCCCATCACATCAACTTTGAGGTATTCTAATGGTAATATACAATGTGTAGAATAATCAAATGAGTATGATTGAGGCAGTCCCCTAAATTACGAAATTATAGGGCAAAATGTATATGGTTGATAGGAACTTGCATAAGGAAAAAGATTATAGTTCGGCCGCTTAGAAAGCGAACTCCTCCAGCATTGGTTTAGCATTAGCGCACAGGTCGTTTTCTAAGCGGCCGAACTATACTTTGATGTATTCTAATGGTAATATACAATGTGTAGAATAATCAGTATGAGTATGATTGGGGCAGTCCCCTAAATTACGAAGTTATATGGCAAAATCTATATGGTTGATAGGAATTTGCGTCAGGAAAAAGTGCACAATGTTGACCCCAAGCCCATCACATCAAATTTGAAGTATTCTAATGGTAATATACAATGTGTAGAATACTCAGTATAAAAATGATTGAAGCAGTCCAGTATATTACGAAGCTATAAGGCAAAATCGATATGGTTGATAGGAACTCGCATCAGGAAAAAGTGCACAATCTTTTTCCTAAGTCCATCACATCGACTTTGATGTATTCTAATGGTAATATACAATGTGTAGAAAACTCAGTATAAATATGATTGGTGTAGTCCCCTAAATTACGAAGTTATATGGCAAAATCTACATCGTTGATAGAAACACGCATCAGGAAAAAGTGCACAATCTTTTTCCTAAGCCTATCACACAACTCTGAGGTATTCTAATGGTAATATACAATGTGTAGAACAATCAGTATGAGTATGATTGAGGCAGTCCCCTAAATTACGAAGTTATATGGCAAAATCTATATGGTTTTTAGGAATTTGCGTCAGGAAAAGTGCACAATATTTTTCCTAAGCCCATCACATCAACTTTGAGGTATTCTAATGGTGATATACAATGTGTAGAATACTCAGTATAAATATGATTGGGGCAGTCCCCTAAATTACGAAGTTATATGGCAAAATCTATATGGTTAATAGGAATTTGCATAAGGAAAAAGTGCACAATCTTTTTCCTAAGCCCATCACATCAACTTTGAGGTATTCTAATGGTAATATACAATGTGTAGAATAATCAGTATGAATATGATTGGGGCAATCCCCTAAATTACGAAATTATATGGCAAAATGTATATGGTTGATAGGGACTTGCATAAGGAAAAAGTGCACAATCTTTTTCCTAAGTCCATCACATCAACTTTGATGTATTCTAATGGTAATATACAATGTGTAGAATACTCAGTATAAATATGATTGAGGCAGTCCAGTATATTACGAAGCTATAAGGCAAAATCTATATGGTTGATAGTAACTCGCATCAGGAAAAAGTGCACAATCTTTTTCCTAAGTCCATCACATCGACTTTGATGTATTCTAATGGTAATATACAATATGTAGAAATTTCAGTATAAATATGATTGGGGTAGTCCCTTAAATTACGAAGTTATATGGCAAAATCTATATAATTGATAGGAATTTGCGTCAGGAAAAAGTGCACAGTGTTGACCCTAAGCCCATTACACCAAATTTGAGGTATTCTAAGGGTAATATACAATGTGTAGAAAATTCAGTATAAGTATGATTGAGGCAGTCTCTTTAATTACGAAATTATATGGCAAAATGTATATGGTTGATAGGAACTTGCATTGGGAAAAAAGTGCACAATGTTGACCCTAAAACCATCACACCAACTTTGAGCTATTCTAATGGTAATATACAATGTGTAGAATACTCAGTATAAATATGATTGAGGCAGTCCAGTAAATTACGATGGTATAAAGCAAAATCTATATCGTTGATAGAAACACGCATCAGGAAAACGTGCACAATCTTTTTCCTAAGTCTATCACATCAACTCTGAGGTACCCTAATGGTAATATACAATGTGTAGAACAATCAGTATGAGTATGATTGAGGCAGTCCCCTAAATTACGAAGTTATATGGCAAAATCTATATGGTTAATATGAATTTGCGTCAGGAAAAAGTGCACAATATTTTTCCTAAGCCCATCACATCAAATTTGAGATATTCTAATGGTAATATACAATGTGTAGAATAATCAGTATAAGTATGATTGAGGCAGTCCCCTAAATTACGAAGTTATATGGCAAAATCTATGTGGTTGATAGGAATTTGCGTCAGGAAAAAGTGCACAATATTTTTCCTAAGTCTATCACATCCACTTTGATGTATTTTAATGGTAATATAAAACATATAAAATAATATATAACACAAAAAGAAAAAATACCCCGTTGCAGCAGACCTGCATACTGAGCAAATTTCAAATGCTAAAATAATAAATGTAGACGAGGCCTTCTTTAAAGTAAAACCAGCTTACGTCCATAAATGTGGGAGCTAAAAGATTCTACATATATGGGAAGTGATAATGCAGATTTGCTTCAACAAAATTCAATTCACTGGTTCCAACATCAATAATTAACAGTAAAATCAAAATCTTTAGTTGACAAATCTTGTTTTAATTTAATCAAAATTTCAAAGTGTGATTAACAGCAAACCTGCGAAAATTCGTAAAAATAAAATGGAATAGAAAGCAATTAAATTAAAATGCTTATATGACAGTATAGCCTACACATCCAGTGAGCATACGTTTCAACATCCGACACTGTGGTTCTATATGTATTATAGGCAAGGAAGAAGCATCTCGACTCGACCACCGGACACCTAGCTGAGGCAGGGGGCTGCCGGCCGAGTGCCGAGCCGAAATCCCGGGCCGGTACACACACACCGACTTTTGTCGTGCCCCTGTACAAAGTCGTGAACGACAAATTTCGAGTCGCGCCCTACACCGACTGGGGGTCCGACAGGCAAGTCGTGTCGTATGGGCTCACGACTGTTTTGAAACGTAGCGGGACATGGCGTTATATGGCTATCGCGTCGGTGTATACACACTAGTGCGTTTCGGGACACAACTTTTTAACCATAGGTGATGCATTAAATGGGGTATTTTAAATTTTGACAGTACAGCCGGATAGTCCGGCCATTTTGTAGTCCGGCCGGTGGTCCGGTCCCGAGGTGGCCGAACTAGAGAGAGTCTACTGTATGTACATTAACAAAAATAACTTATTGTAATGGTAATTTTTTGTAAAGGGCAACAAAAAATAACCAAAATTAACATTACCTTAACTGATAACACATATAATTAGACGAATTAAGGATTTATAATGAAATGTACATAAATGGCATTACATAAATTCTTGTTTATTTTTGCAAAGTGTTTCAAAACAAGTTTTTTTACATAGCAATGACTAAACTTTCCATACTCATTCATTCTGTTTATACATGGTTCCTCTTCCTCCGGCGACATCCTCACAAGTGAGTAGTCCTAAAGCCAATAGAGTTCGCTGTTGTGTTTGCTGAGTCGTATACCGATACGACAACTGTCGTGAGGTAACACGACTTTGTCGTATGTCAGCACGACACGAACAGTCGTACTCACATGCGTCCAAGTCGGTGTGTGTGTACCGGCCCTAAGGGTTGGTGTCACGTGACAGGGTTGGTGTCACGTGACAAGGCTCTCGCACGCACGCACGTTGCCGCACCCGGCACTAGGCATTGAAAGAACTATTAGCGCTGCCTCGCGTCGAAGGCGAGAACTAGCGTTTTGACCTGTCGAACTGGTCTGAATTTTTAACATGGCGTGTGTCTTTCTTATAGGATATATATTCAATGGCGAGAAGGAGCGAACTGCCCCGACGTTACTAGAGGATATGAATGACGTCCTACACAGGGTGAATCACATTAGGTGACCAATATAGACTTTAGACAAACTGTTGGCCCTACAATGATGATATGATTTTTTTCTTATTGAGCCAACAGGATGTACCAAAACAAGAGGTTCACTAGTTAAATAAACGGTATCAGCAATCTGACACATACTTTCTCCCATTAGCTTGTCAACAATATTTATCATGGGTAAGCGATGAGAGTAACTTTGATATTTAATAGGTAAAATCAAAAAACTTTTATTAACTTTGGAACAGTAATTTTAACAGGAATGAAGGGATGCACGATTTTGTTTAGAATTATAAGGACCATTACATCAGAATTATAAGGACCATTACAGAATAATTTAAATCAGAATCGGGTTTTTTTCAAAAATCCATTTTTCTGTTATTAAATTTGTGT